GGTAAAATCTGGTATCCTGAATCCTCTTAGATATTCATGTACCTATCCACCCATTCTGGATATGGTTTCCTGTACACAGGAGTTTGAACCCCCCGACCCATTGGTCCACACATCTCTCTAACAATGTCAGCAATGTGATCCCTAGGGACCATATTTGTGCCTGTTGAACCACTACTGGAGGAACTAACACAGGATTTGGTGGACAACCTTGTGCTTGTGGTCCTCTTGGCCCATAAGGTGGTATATTTGGAACTGGTTGTCCCTATGGCGCCGGTTGCTGTTGGGGGTGTGGGTAACCCCTTTGAGCCTGTCCTGCGAAAGGACTTGCGAAAGGTGTTGGAACAGGTGTTGTGCCTCTTCCATTTGTAGGAAAACCTTCCAACCCCCCGGGTATAAATTCGAATAAGGGATTAGTGAACCACCTTGTGCCAGGTATGGCTTCGAACATGGGATTTGAAACCATTCTTATGCCATTTTCTTGTCCTGGGCCAGATCTACCAGTTTGCATGGCTTCACTGTTAAATACTGAGGCATTTTGACCTGCTATAGGCCTTGAAATAGGTTCATACCAAGACTGAATTGATGGCCTTTCATGATTTTGACTACTAGTTTGACCATAAGATTGTCCATTAATTTGCATAGGTTGTTTATCTCTAGCCAATCTTTACTGAGGGACATTTGAAACTTCCTCCATGTGTCTTGTATTTGTTAGTTGATGGGTATTCATTTGATCCAAAAAGGATGTTGCCCATCTCTCTATTGTGTTCATTAACTGTTGTCTCATGGCATCTACTAGGCGTCTCCACGGATTCATTGGCTGAGTAGATGGAACAGTGGCTGGTCCAATTCTTTGGCCTCGTCCAATATTATGAACATGTGGTACTTGCCCCGAAGTACTGATCTGTTCGACCATAGGTTCTGATAAAATATGTGTTTCCATAGGATGTGTTATCATATTATCCTCTTGATTAGGTATTTCTACCTCTCCTTCCACGCCTTCTTCCAAGCGTTCATTTTCTCCTTGTCTCCTACGTCTAGCCATTTCAATTAGTCCCACTGGGCGTGCCAAAAAATATATATTGGCTTTTTGGCTTTCGAAGGTTACTTTTGTAATTATGAGCGTGCCAGCAAGGATCAATCAGTCCTTACAGAAAATTAATTGCTAACCAATTATCAGACGATTGTGTTTTAGTTCTTTCAGACTCAATGAAGAGGACTTTTACTGGTGGCTTAATTTAGGAGAATTAAGCATATAACAATTAAATGAAGAACAATTGAAGCATTTCATTAAAATGAAAAATTTACAATGATCCAAACTCAGCTTTGTAGAGGTTTACAACAACAATCTATTTGAAACTACTCCTATGAACGAAGTGCAGTGTAGGAATTTTAAAGTACAGAAATATAAAGAACATGAAATGTAAAACTGGAAAGGAAATAAAGTAGAATAAGACTGATTTTTTGGATCTGAGTCTGGGGATTTTTTCTGGGGCCTTCTCTGCTATTTATACTTCTCAAGGATGACCATTGAACTGCATTTCCAACCGTCGAACTGCTCCTCCATGATCGCTAATCATGTTGCCTTATAATTAGTTCCATAAATGTCATTACTTGCAGTTAGGCTTCCCTCATAATTTTGAATTTGAATGTGAGTAACCGTTGAAACCACATCACTTTGCATCTCTTTACTGATCCAATGCTACTCAGGTCTCGTAATAACCAATACTAACTGCCATGTGTACGATCATGATCGAAGACTTGAATAGTCTTCTTGTATTACCCTTATTCTGCCACGCGTCGAATTGTAATTGATTTATACAAAATATGTAGCCAACAATAACATTTGATATTGGGTTTGACAATTACTTTTTTAATACATATAGGATAAAGTTATTGCTAAAAAAAAAAATAATGTTTTTGATAAATGTTTTTTTTCTTGTCTTTAGTGATTTTTTGTTTTCTAGATTTTTTAATTTTTTTTAAGATCATTTCAAATGTGAAGGACCTGAAAAATAAATAAAAAGGTAAAAGTTGGTGCTTATTTTATAAATTTTAACTAAAGACAATAAATAAATAAAACTTGATTTTTTTAACAATCCTTGTTAAAAATGTCACAATTGTCAACTATAAAATTTATAAACAAATCGTCTATTTGTTTTTGGGGATTTCAATAGTAAAAAAAAAGAAACCAAACAGATCTTGAATGGAATCTTAAATTTGTGGGTCCCCATTTTTTAAAATTTTTTAATTAAGATTCGAACGCAACTATCAATGGATGCCAAATTTTGTTGAACAATCAAATTAGAACTTCTTGTTTTAAAAAAATAAAAATAAAAAAAATAAAAAAATAAAATCAAATTAGAACTTGTTTGTTTGTGGATAAGATTCTCATGTGATCAAGCACACGGTATGTCCATGTAAAAAGAATCCTAGAGAATCTCAGCTACGAGATCTTAAATCAACCGCTAAACAGAACACTTGAACATGACCCACCACACCTTATCCTGGTGCTTCCAAAAAGTATTTTTTAAATGTCATGCTGTCTCAAACGAATCTGGATCTTTTCTTTGATTTCTCTGCTTAACTCTCTATTTGTTAGGTAATTAAGTCCATTTTTTAGCTCAATTTTAATGATTTGAACCGTCCACATTTTAAGATTTGTTGAGTATAACATACCCGTAAAAAATTAAATTGATCGGATATCAGAAAACAAGTATTCGGAAAACTATTTATTAATTTTTTTTAAAAAAACGGTTTGTAATTCGATGATCCAAACACATAATTTCTGATATCCGATCAATTTAATTTTTTACAAGTATGATATGCTCAACAAATCTTAAAATATCAACGATTCAGGTCATCAAAATTGAGCCTAAAAATGGGCTAAATTGCTCAACAAGTACGGAGTTATGAAGATAAATCAAAGAAAGGATTCTGATTTGTCTCAAACAGCCATTCTCAAATGGGTTTGGTTATGGTGTGCAACTTACACCTTACACCTTATACCTTTCACTTACACCTTTTGTAAAAAATTAAACCTTACACTTACACCTTTTTTGAGGTTGCACATCATGTGCAACCCACTTACACCTTACACTTACACCTACACCTTACACTTACACTTTATACTTATACTTACACCTTACACTTACACTTTTTGTGTAAGTGGCACATGGTGTGCACTTGCACACTTAAGAAAACTCCTTCTCGAATATCTGAAATAAGTAGCATTTTTAAGAGTAATAATTATTAATTGTGGAATAGAAAAGTTTAGACATTAATGACTCATTCTATAACTTAATTTTGTATGTAAATATTTAACTCAACAAATTATAAAAAATTAAATATTTGAATTATTGAGACCGACCTCCAAAACAGGCGCTGTAAACCCCGTTAGCCCCGTTGTTCTCAAAATTTAAAAAATTAATTTAGTGAAAAATATAAAACATTTTAAATACTTATTATTTTTATATGATTTTTTTTCCTTTTCAAGCACAATTAAATTTTTAAATTTTTTTTTTGTCAAACTACTTACAATTTTTTTTTTGAATAGAAATTAAATTTTAAAAATTATTTGCTTGTTTCCACTTTTCAAAAAATACTTTTTAGAAAATTCTACTTTTTTATTTTCTGTGTTTTTTTGTTTTTACTGAATTTTTTTTAATATTTTAAGTAATTTTTTACTTTTTAGACACACCTAACATAAATACACCTAAAAATTAAAAAAAATTATAAAAAAAATCTTTTAAAAATTCACTAACTACCAAAAATACAAAAAAAAAATACAAGAATTCAGTATATTTTTGTATTTTTATGTATTTATTAATGTTTTAAAATATTTTTTCAGAAATTTTTTACTTTTTACATACATATAAGTAAGGTGCATCTAAAAAATTAAAAAAAAATGTTTAAAATTTAAAAAATATTCACTAAAAACAAAAAAAAACACGAAAACTAAAAAAGTCAATTTTCAAAAAATTTAATTCAGAAAACTCAAACCAACACACTGAATATTTTTTTTCACTTTAGTCTAACTGCTTATAATTCTCTCTTTATTTTTATCAAATTACTTTATAAGGGTCTGTTTGGTAACGTTTACGTTTTCAGTTTATATTTACAAAACTTTTATAAACTGGTTTTTGTTTATTTTTTGTTTATTTTTAGAAAAACATAAACTATAAACCGTTTGGTAATTGAGAAAATGTTTAAAAAAATTTAAAAATATAAAAAAGAGCGAGAAATGGCAAGTAGTGACAAGTGGCGGCGGAATACGGTGGTGGAAAGTGGTGATGGTGGGTGGTGGGTAGCGTGTGGTGGGTGGTGGTGGTGGTGGTGGGTGGTGAGTGGTAGCAAGTGCGTGGTGGCGTTGGTGGTGGCGGGTGGTGGGTGGTGGTGGCAGGTGGGTGGTGATGGTGGATAGGGGGTGATGTGCGAGCGGCGGTGGTGGCAGGTGGGTGGCAGTGGTGGTGGATGGTGGCGAGTGGGTGGTGGTGGCGGGTAAGTGGCGGGTGGTGGTGGGTGGATGGGTGATGGTGGTGGATGGTGGGTGGTAGCGAGTGGGAGTGGCTGGTGGTGGTGGCGGCTGGTGGATGGTAGGTGGGTGGTGGTGGTGACGGCGGCGAGTGGTGGGTAGTGGTGGCGAGTGGGTAGCAGGTGGGTGGTGGCTGGTGGGTGGCAGGTAGGTGGTGAGTGGTGGTAGGTGGGTGGTGGTAGGTGGGTGGTGGCTGGTGGGTGGTGGTGGCGGAAGATGGTGATGGAAAATGGTGGTGGGTGGTGGCTAATGTTGGGTGGTAAAAAAAAAAAAAACTTAAAACTCAAAACGAAAACACATTTTTTGAGTTTACATTTTTTGGTTAAATTTATAAACTGAGATAACTGATTTATAAATTAAAAATTTATCAAACAAGTTTTTATTTGAGTTTTTAAAATTTTTATAAATATAAACAGAAAATTAAAAATGTAAGTGTTACCAAACGACAGCTAATTATTTTGTCAAAACCCTAACGAACCCTACGCCTGTGAAAAAGCAACAAACCAAATCCCATTACACCAAACCCCCCCATGATTTCTGAATCAAAACCAGAAATCAAAAAAACATCAACATAAATGGAGATGGACTCTGATGAGTCTCACCCTCTTCCCCATCAGATCATCCTTAACATCTTCTCAAGATTACCCGTCAAATCTCTCTTGCGTTCCAAGCTCGTCTGCAAAGAATGGCGCCACTCAATCTCCACTCCCCAATTCACCAAACTTCGCCTCTCTCAATCCCAACTCACAACAACCCACCACGTCGCACTTCTTGAGTCTCGCAATCCTCCTTCCTCCATTGCTCTTCGCTCTATCGAATCTCATTCCGATGAATCAGTGATTGAGATTCATAACTCTTTCAAGTATTCTTATCCCTATTCCAAGATTATCAGTTCTTGTAATGGGTTGTTGCTAATTGCTCTATCCCAGAAGACTTTCATTGTTTGGAACCCATCTACTAGAGAATACGAGCATTTGGGTTGTCTTCCTCATTTTCTCAGTTTCGTTTTTGATGATGCAGTTTGTCCCAGTGAATGGATCGGACTAGTCTAAGCTCCTCAAGCCCAGGTCCAAATGATCAAGCCCACCGGATAACCTACAAACAAGTTCAACGGGGAACGGGGTAGTCCCCCAGTGAACCCTCCGATGAGCAAGTTAGGAAGAGAAGTAGAGTGTAGAGGGAGAGATTAGAGATAGAAAAGCTTAACCTTCTTCTTGTCTTCAACGTTGGTTTATATCCTTTGGTAATCATTTCGCTGTCCCTTACGACAACACCTCGCCGAAAGTCTATGCAGTAGCTTACCTTGTTCAGGGTAAAGGGGTCCTGTTCCGACGGAGAGGTGTTGTCGTAATAAATGCTGTGATGGGCTACATTAATGGTGATGTGCAGTGGCAATAACTTTGCAGATCTTTGTCTGCTGATGTGGCTCGTCCTTCACCTGCCATGTGTCTTAATGTCATTGGCTCTTTATGCCATGTTGGATTCCAGCTGTCCTGGACCTCACCAGCTGGGTTATGTATTGGGCTTCAAGTGATGGGCTTGGGTTGTTCATAGTGATTTGTGGCCTTTATGGGCTTATAGACGTCAGTAGTCCCCCATTCCCGAGTGCAACTTTAGTCCAACGAAGGGAATACAAATGAAGAAGATGAGGGTGTTAGGGATTGGCAGGATGGAGGTCGACTGGCAGGGGTGATCGAGAGGGTGAACCGACCGGGAGGTGGTTCGACCGTGCAGGGTGATCGAGTGGAAGGGCCGACCACGAGGAGGGCTAACCGCAAAGGTTGGCCGAGTGGGAGGGTCAACCACGAGGATGGCCGACCGCGAAGGGGGCCGACCGCGAAGGTTGGCCGAGTGGGAGGGTCGACCATGAGGAGGGCCGACCGTGAAGGGTGACCAAGTGGGAGGCTCGACCACGAGGAGGGTCGACCGCGAAGGGTGAGGTGGAGGGGCGTGGGACTCGAGAAGCGGCGTGTCACGTGGTGATTTGAAGTGGAAAAGACAGGGTAAGGGAAGGAGACAGTGGATCGTGGTTGTACACGTGGCAACATCTCGCGGGGGAGGGGGGGAGATTAGGCGTTAGATCAGAAGTGAAACGATAGGTCATTATGGGTGTTGAAAAGACAGTTTTGGCGGATGATTTGAAAAGTTTTCAAGCTGGCGAAAAATAATTGGGATCCTTGGAATACGGGCAAACCGTAGGCTTTTGGCATTATTCGATTCACCTACTTGTTTACGAAAAATCAAAATATTCTAAGTGTGAATTCCTTTGTTGCTCGCGATATACCTTTGCAACACTTTTTCAACTTCCTTGCACCTACATCCGAAACGATTCGCAGGCATACCATAGAAATGGCCCAAGAAGAAACTGCGAATGTCAGAGTAGATCCACTTGGTGATGATGATGCAGTGGAGTTAGCATAGCAATATAGGATGGAGAGGGTGGGGGAGTCGGTGGTACGATCCCATGGTTCCACTATGATAGCAACTCCAAAGCCAATCAGCCAGGTAGAACCAGATCACTGGCATACAATGGCAGACAGATCAACGGTTACTGCAGCGGATTTGGAGGCCATTCGCGAAAAATACCAGGTGCCTGCTGAAATAGAGTTATTGTTGCCGATGTCGACGGAGAGGCCATCCGACGCCAGGTCAGGGGAGTTTGCCCTTTATAAGGAAGCATTGAAGGGAGGACTGAGGCTGCCCCTACCGTAAGTGGTGGTAGATGTCCTGAATCGTTTGGAGGTAGCGCCGGACCAACTAATGCCCAATGCGTGAAAGATCTTACTGGCCTGTGCAAGTGCGTGACCGAAGGCGAACGAAGGGGCGGCCATGATAGTAGACGAATTTTTCGCATGTTACAAGGCCTCAGGGCAGCAAGAGACTTGGGTCACTCTGCAGGCAGCAGCAGGGAAAGGGCTGGTGGCGGGGCTGCAGGGCTGCCGTCGTCGATCAAGGGGTGGAGACCACGGTGGTTCTATGTATCTGCCAGTGGAGGGGTTGGAGTGCGCACCATTTGGAAAGTGCCCACCAAGTCTGTGGAGCCAAAGTTGCGAGCAGCAGCAGAGGAGAGGGTGAAGAGGGTAAAGGAATGGAGGGAGAAGGAAGGGGCCAGGTGGGACGAGTTCGTTCAGCCGTCGGCTTTGTTTGAGGCAGGGTTGGGTCCACAGCCGAGTGGTGGGGACCTCGACCGAACAGAGTTGGAGGCAAGGAGGAAGGCTCAAGAGGCAGAGGATCAGACCATCCTTGCCAAAGCCCAAAAATTCAAAGAGTCTCAGGCAGACCGACTGCCAAAGCCGGTTGCAAGGGAGAGGATCCGACCGCGACCTAAACCCTTGGGGGAAAAAAACTTAGGTGAATTTGTGCCACGACCGCCCCCAATAGATCCTTTGAAGGAGAGGTCGTTGAAGGAGATGGAGGTATTGGGCGTAGTGAAGCAGAAGAGGAGAGTGAGGAGGAGTGAAGAAGAGCCTGCCCAGAAGAGAAAGAGGGAAGTGAGGGCAGAAGAGACTAGTATGGCGAAGGAGGCAGAGGGGGGGGGGACGTGAAGGAGACCCCAGGAAGAGTAATTTCCCTAGAAGTGGTGAACATTGCCTCAGAGGGCATGGAAGTCGTTCTAGTAGTGGCGACGATCGCCGCGAGGGTCGCCCCTAAAGTGCAAGTAGAAGGTGGGCCGATTGGCCCTGAGCCAAGGAGGGAAAAACAGCCCCAGGGGGGTCCTGCACCCCAAGGAAGGGGAGTCAGTCTGACTACTGCGATCTACCATGCTCGTGCGGTAGCTGGGCGGCTAGAGGGAGAAGAAGGCCCAGCCAGGGCAGGGGCAGACCGCCTTGTGGGGATTGTAAAAGAGGCAGCCTTGCGCTCAGCAGCCAGATTCAATGAGGCTGAGCTACTGAGGGGGTTATGCTCCGCTCAAATGGAGGTAACCACCTTAGCAGGGGCTCTGATGAGGAAGGCTGGGGCTGCAAAGCTCAAGGCAGATGAGGCCAAGGCTCAACTTGCAAGGTTGAAGAAGGAGAGCGCAAACTGGGAGAGTGCCCACGCTGAGCTGTAAACGGTCAAGGTGGAGCTGGAGAACACACGCCACCAGGTTGTATCGCTCGAGTTCCAACTGGCTGGCGAGCAGAAGAGGTTGGATGAGGCCCAAAAAGCCTGCGTGGTCGTGGTCGAACAACATGAAGAGGCGATGAGCAGTAATGAAGAGCTGGTCAGGCAGAAGGATGAGGCAGACGTGAAGATTGATGGTCTGCAAAAGGAGCTAGAGGGCAAGCGTGCTAAGGCAGTGAAGGAGAATGAGAGTCTTCGGAAGGAGTTGGAAGCAGAGAGAGCCAAGGCGGCTGCTGAAAAGGAGAGCCTTCAGAAAGAGTTGGAGGCAGAGAAAGCCAAGGCAACTGCTGAAAAGGAGAGCCTTCAGAAGGAGTTGGAGGCAAAGAAAGCCAAGGCAACTGTTGAAAGAGTGACCCTGGATAAGGAGTTGGCGGAGGAGAGGGCTAAGGCAGCCTCTGAAAGGGCGGCTTACCCGGATCTTTATGTGGCAGCAGTGGACTAGTTCAAGGGGTCTGCTGAATTTCAGATGGCAGTGGATGCCGCGGTCGCTAGTAGCTTGGTGAGGGAGGAGTCTGGGGAGGCGGGTCCATCGAGGACGACTGTTGGAGGAAGGACTGAGGCAGAAGTGATTGAGAGCTTCCAGCGGTCAGACTTTTATAAGCACGAAATGGCTAAGTTCTGGGACAGTGGTTGGAAAATGTTCAAGCGTAAAGCTGAGGAGCTGTTCCCAGACTTGGACTTGAGTAGTGTGAAAATCGATGACGACGATGTGGCCCAGACCCCCCTTGATGAGGGTATTGAAGAAGAAGATCTTGTGTCCAGTGAAGAGGAGTAGTTTGAAGAAGAAGAAGAAGGCCTTGCACAGACCTTGTGTTTTTGTGTTTGTTTTGTTTGTTGTTTTGTTTTGTTTTCTGTTTTGAATGGCTGTAATGAACTCATGTACAAATTTCTGAATAAATAAAATTGCAATTATGTTTTCATTTGATTATCTGTGCTTGTGCAACTGAAATGAATGAGGCGTAGACGAGGCGTGTATAACTCATTGTGAAGTGCAAAGTGGAGTTAAACTTGTAATAAGAACTAAATTTAAGAACTCCTCAGTGTAGAGTGAAATTGAAGTTGTAATAAAAACTCAATGCAGGGTAGAGTTAGGAACTCCTCAATGCAGAGTGAAATTTAAAATGTAGTAAAATTATAAGTTTGTGTTTGCCACGCTGCTGAAGTAGATTAGTGGTTTATTAGAGTGAGGCTTGGCTTGTAAGGAAACTGGCTGACTTGTAAAAGAGTTTGATTGAGAATAAAATAACCTGACTTGTAAAGAAAACGTGTAAGAACGTCTTTGGAATTTGACTAAGCAAAGAGTGGTGTAAAGACTTGGACCTGGAATTGTGACTAAGTGTGTCTACTAATTCCACAAGTATGAAGTTTGCATAGATGGCTTTGACCGAGCCCTGTACGTGTGCTCAGTTGGGGCTAAGCTATGATTCACTGACGTTGTAAGGAACTCAGTCTGAACCTGAAATTGTGGCACTCGGTCCGGCTGAGACTTGTTATGCTTAGGCTAGCTGAGGCCGAGTGCTTCATGCTCAGTCTGAGTGAGGCTTTTAGTGCTCAGTCTGGGTGAGGCTTTTCGTGCTCGGTCTGGCTGAGGCTTTTTGATGCTCAGTCTAGCTGAGGCTTTATGATGCTCAGTTTGGCTGAGGCTTTTTGATGCTTAGTCTAGCTGAGGCTTTTTGATGCTCAGTCTGGCTGAGGCTTTATGATGCTTAGTCTAGCTGAGGCTTTTTGATGCTCAGTCTGGCTGAGGCTTTATGATGCTCAGTCTGGACGAAGATTTTTAATGCTCAGTCTGGCTGAGGTTTTATGATGCTTAGTCTGGATGAGGCTTTTCATGAGTGCTGCAATCAAAATGTCATTGAGACACCATACAGATAACTGAGATATATAATTGTTGGCAGGGA